GAGAGATTTCCCACATACAATGTACAGCTTTTCTTCAGTAATTTTTCTTGTTCTTCATTGTCACCCTACAAGTTCAAACAGAGACAAAGTTAACCTTAGAATTTAAAAAGTTTGCTTAATGCCCAGCATTGACACAACTGTAATCCCAGAACTGGGACTGCAGAGTTCAGGACCAGCCTGAATTACATAGTGAAACATTTCCTCAAACAAAACAAAAACTGTTAACTGCGTGAACTGAATTTAGCCTCAATCAAAATTTCCTTTCCCTGCCCGACTAACACATTTACACACTGTCCACGCCTACCTCTTCTACACGTGCTCCCTTCCCCATCACCAGGGGATTTGACCTTTTCTCAATCTTCACAGCCCTCCCCTTTCCGCATACCATTTCTGCTTTTGCTTTGATTATCTGCTTTTATTTACAACCCTGAACATGCCTGCGCTCTTAGGGTGCCAAGGGTGATGAGCTTTCCCTTTTCCCCTAGGGTTCAGCAGAAAGCTTCAGCAACATCACTCCGTAAAAATCACTGTTAATATTTCTGCCACCTCACTCTGTTCCACCCTTGCCTTTGCTGATACAGAAAACCCCTCCCGGAATATCTGCAGCCTGTCATCTTTCCACAGAATACACTGAGACGTAGTCTAACACAAAAATTTCCTTTTCTGAAACCCAGCAACTCTCTGACCTGAACATTTAGGCACCTCTTCACTTGAGAGTCCTTCCCAAGGGTGAAACAGGACTCAGCTTTGTTTCTCACCCACAGTTTAGAACTTTATGGGTTACACTACTACAAGAGAGCAGGGCATGGTGGCGTGCATTTGTAATCCCAGCATTCTGAAAGGCTGAGTCAGGAGGATCGCAATCCCAGCATTCTGGGAACGTAGTTCAGATCGAGGGCCCTGGGTTCAACGTCCAGTGTCTAAGGAGAAAGCCTCAAAGCGCCAAAATGCAGTAAGTGAAAGATCAATAGCATGTGGGTCATCGAGGTGCCACCGCATACTCTAGGGGCTGGAAAGGTCCCCAACGGCTCCTCATCACACACTTCCCGGAGCGCCAACACTGTCGCACGAAATGCACCGGACCAAGTTCAGGCAGCGGGTGAACAGGAATGGGAAAGCGAGTCTCAGATTCCCTTTCCAGGAGAGAAAGTGTTTTTAGAGATAACCAGATAGCCTTCTGGCATCCATTCTCCGCTTCTCCAGCAGGCACGGGGACCCCCTCTTCGCGTTTCGGCAAAGCGGCACAATGGAAGACGACACAATGAGACCGAATGCAGAGGTTTTTCAGCGTTCTGGCCCAGGACCTGCTTCTCTCGCGACCCGGCCTGCCTTACCCGAAAGTGCTGGTCCCGGTACTGGCTCAGCTCCACGTAAGAGTCGCTGCGCAGCGCCTTCAAGAGGCTCCCCGACATGATGCTAAGCGATCCAAGGCGAAGCGCAACCTCCGCAGACAGCCAAAGGCCCCGCGGCGGTGGCGGAAGCGGAAATACTCGAGGCGGCTGCTCGGCGTCCCTCGGCCGCCCAATCCGCGCGGGGCGGTGTCGTCATCACGCGGCGCGGGCGCAGACGCGGTCCGTCGGGGGCGCCGCCGGTGGGAAGGCGGAGCGGTGTGTTCGCGGTTCCGGGGCGCTGGGGGAGGATGGTTCTCCGGCGGCTGCTGGCCGCCCTGCTGCACAGCCCGCAGCTGGTGGAGCGGCTGTCGGAGTCGCGGCCCATCAGGCGCGCGGCGCAGCTCACGGCCTTCGCGTTGCTCCAGGCGCAGCTGCGCGGACAGGACGCGGCCCGCCGTCTGCGGGGGCTCGCGGCGGGACCCGCGGGGGATCTGGGGCGCCGCGCCGCTCGATTCCGGGACACCTTCGCCCGGGAGCTTCGTCGCGGCCTCCGTGACCGCCCGGGGCCGCCGGGGAGTCAGAGGGGCCCAGGCGCGAACTCTTAGACCGGCCTGGATCGGGCCGAAGTCGCCCGCTTTCTCTTTGCCCGACGCTGACCTTGTGATTGAGGAGTCCTGACCGGATTGTCGCCGGCTGATGTCTTCATCGGGCCGAGGGCACCATGTGGAGGACGACCCCGAAGAAGCGGCTGACAGACACCCAGACACTGCACGGACTGTGGACATAGCTGGAAAGAGCCTGCCTTCTGCATATGGGACTCGACTCCTGACAGAGGCTGCTGCGACCGCACAGGGACACAGGGCACCGACTCTAGGAAAGAAGGACGGAAGGACATCTTGGCATTCTCTGATTAAATGAGCTGAATCATGGGCATTAGTGTGGTGCTTCTCAGATGAGGTGGGATGGGAATCTTGGAGCTCCAGGGCCATGGTAAGAGTAGTTCACACTGTAAGTTTGTTTTCGCGCTGACGTGTTTTGTTTTTTTTTTTTTTTTTAACATTTATTTACTTATTGTGTGTGTGTGTGTGTGTGTGTGTGTGTGTGTGTGGCCAGCTCAGCCCACCAGGGGGCGAG